TTATATTAAACTGTTTCTTTAAGCTGAGCCTCATATGACCCAAGGCATCAACTGCTAGGCACTCATGATAATCAAACTCTCTACAGTATTTTCATTGTTACAACCATTATGTTTGATTAGTTTTTCTTCTCTCACTTTTGCCATGTTTTTTGAGTTAATCTTTGCTCATTAAATGGAGGGAATTTGAATTATATTAACATCTCCAACCTATTTCATCAGGGAATATTCAGAAAAACAAATTATTGGTTTGTACATTGAATATGACTGAATGTTTATTTGCTTTCCCTATTGGCTCAGTTCAAATTCTATGCATTTATCAAACATTTATGAAATTCTTGTATAATCTCTCTATATAAAACAGAGGATGTCTGTGTGTCTGTCTGTGTGATACATTTTCACTAGAGATCCGTCTAAAGGATTTTGACCAAACATGGCACATACATTGTACAATGTGAGATAGGTTCTTAGCGTAAAAAATCGATAATTTTAAAAAAAATCAATAATCGATAAAGCCAATCAAAATTTGATAAATTCAACTTTTTTCCTCCAATTTCATTCAAACTCAGTATGTAGGTTACTTACATCATAACAAGCTCAACAATAGCTCATTTTTATTTCTACACCTCTGTGTTTAGCAAAAAAACTGCAAAAAACGAAAAAATCAATTTCAACAAATTTTAAACTGAAAACTCCCTCAATTTTCAAGTGATCTAATACAAACTTCACTCAAATGTAGCAAACAATAAGTTGATTGTTTGACATCTAAGTTGATAATTGAGTCCACCCATATAGTGAAAACCCATATAAATAGTTAAAATGGTGATTTTTACTAGTTTCCTTTTTATTTTTCGATGATCTTTCAACCAATTTTCATCAAACTTAACAATTGCTTTATAAATGTATTCTCTTTTGCATCCCTGGTAGCACACTGACAAATTGAATTTCAAAAACTCCAAAAATAATTGTAGTCTGATGTGGGTTTTCATGTAGCCTGTTATAATAGCCCTTCATGTCCTCAGCTGACTTTGATTCAATAAATACAGACTACTTCTGTTATATTAGTAACTGCATTAATTCAAAATGTTTGTTAATGAAAGTACTTTAAAGTAATTGAAGAAGATAGACTTCATTACATCTTAGCATGATACTGTTTTTGATCCATTCTAATTGAACACTTTTTCTGTTTGACCAGCTAGGTATGGCTGCTAGTAGATAATAAGTGGGCTTCATGTTGTCATCAAATACAGTCTATTAGGACAAAACTCACGTCCCTTATATTGGAAGCTCATCGTTGAGAAATGATGCCTTACCACTGAGGAGGACAAAATTGTTGTAAGGCAAAACAATTGTCCTTGATCTTTTGGCCACTGTGTTTGTTCCAACTCCTCTGATGTGGAGTTCTTTGTTAAAAATTTTGGCAGCTTAGTAGCTAAAGATGTTGTGATAAAAAGTAATAAAAATAAACACAAAAATATATGCAATAATGAAAATACTTCATTTCAGAATCTGTAAACAAATTACTAATAATTTAACAGCCAAAGATCATTAAAAAAATGTTGTGATATAAAACAAAAGATGAAAAAATTAGTCAAAAGGACAACAATGTAAATTATTTATTTTCATCCTACAAAATACTGGCTCTATACTTTCAGAAAAAAAGTTTTTATAACTGGAAAGGTTGTGTAGATAGAATATAAAGCCCAGTAAAAAGAGAAAAAAGTGATTTTTTTTTTATTTTTTTTTTTACAAAAAATGTAGATGAGGCTTTGTGGGAGAATTCTGTAGACAATGTGGTTTTATTTTTGAAGTTGGTAAACCAAAATCAGGAATTTATTTTTTTGCATTTCAAATTCTATCATAAAACAAAAAAATCATTTCCTACTGAATTTTAAAGCCAGCATTATACACTGAGAATTGCATGAATTAAAATGAATCAAATTAAAAAAATGTGCTGGTTTCTTTGTGACAAAATAAGATCATAATGGAAGGGAACTAATTTGATTACCTAATGAAATTCATAAAACTTTATTTTTACTGTTAATCATCGTTTGTAGCAGTTTCATTTATTTAGTGTTTTCCCAAAACTTTAAAAAGAGTTTTATTAAAATTATTAAGAAAAACCATTTGTAGAATATTTTTCAATCTTATGAAAGTGATTTTTGTTTTATGTTAAAATTAGAATTTATGTTAATTAGAATTTGCAAAATTATTCCTATTTTTTGCTGTGTGAGAAGCTGGTTTGATATTTGCCTGTGTTAAGCCAACTGGGAAGAATTTTTTTGTATATGTGGTTGAAATCTGTTTTGTTTATAACTCAACAGTAATAGTTGACTGCTTCATGCCATTGTAAATTAAAGTATTGTTGAAAGGCACAAATTGTCCTGTTATAATTTTGATGGTCTCTTGTGCCAACATCCCTCCCATAAAGGCTGCAATGGAATGCAGTTCAGAAGCGCCGTAACGACACCTGTAATTACAAAGAAAAAAAAATGATGAATGATAGCATAGATTACAGAAACAAGACTTGCATCTTGTACTTTTATTGCTCTTTATGTATAACACGTTATATAATCTACTTAATAAAAATAACAGAATTATTTCATGGAAAGTTGAATTTCCATTAACATTAAGTAGTAAGGTCTTTTTCTTTTCATGCAAATTCCTTGTGCATGCTTGTATGCTGCCCAAATTTTCAAAAACATTTAGATTACAGAAATATATTAGATTATATATATATATATATATATATATATATATATATTAGATTATATATATTTTTTATAAGTAGGTAAATATGTACAAAAATGTGGAAGGTAATTTAAAAAAAGCAAACAGAAAGCAAAAACAAATAAGTAAACATGAAAAAAGGAAAAAAGAGAAAAAGTACTCTTACATTTCATGAATGTAGTCGTCTTTAATTAATGTTGAGGTCAATGACAATTCTTGTAAAAGTTTGCCAACATGTGTCTGGAAGAAAAGAAAATAACTAATGTCATTCTTAAGGAAGAACTCAAAGAGTGTTACTGACAAAAGAGTGACACACATTTCTTAACAAAGTGATTGCTAAAGAAGAAAATTATAATGTTAAGTAAACTTTCATTGCTATACACTGCATGTATAGCAATGAAAGTTTACTTAACATTATTATATAGTATAGATATTTACAGTAGCTTCTTTGGTGGTGTGAGATTGTGCAACTCAAGGGTTAGTCATCATATAAAGGGTGTCCCAATAACTTGGATCGATTTTAAATGTAAATTAAGTTTAAAATCGGTGGCATCTTTGATTAAATCTCTTCATATCTTTATATATATATATATATATATATGTTTTTTTTAATTTCCTAGAATAAAGAATAATGCTCTAATTTTGTATTGAGTCCTCTTTTAAATTGAATGATTGGATTGTATTTGTTTCTGGAATATATATATATATATATATATATATATATATATATATATATATATATATATATATATATAAAGTGAACACAAAGTCAACATAGGGGCGACAGTCTGTTTGCATGAACAGTTAATTAACCCAGGACACGTGGCCTTAATGAAGGACTTTTATACGATCGCCACGCCTATCTCTAATTTTAACAAAACTTTATCAAATAAATATATAGCACACCTTACAACTATATTTATTTATATATATATATATATATACTTTAATTTTATTTTATGTTTTTCATTCTTTTTATATATACACGTCATTTGTACTAATTTTCTGTTTATAATAAACAGTATTAAATAACATTTTGCCTGAAATGGATACATTAAAATCAACCATAATGGAACCGTCATTTAACGATAGCGTGCAGTGGACCGCTCGTCCAGGAAAGGACGTTCATTGGACAGGTTGAATATGTCAAGGACGAATATTTTCTATGAAAATTTCTGGGACATTCAGGCTGGTAAATGTTGATACTACTGTTTATTATAAATAGACATTTACTTAAAACTTGTATCTATAAAAAGAAAATATAAACTCAAAATGTGGCTTTAATAAACAAAATTTTGTGGGTTTATTTCTTATATATATATATATATATGTATGCCAAAGTTGTCTGTCTTTTTAATATTCATGTGTGTGTGTGTGTGTATATATATATATATATATATATATATATATATATATATATATAAATAATAGCATAGTTATTAATATTTTTTAATTTTAGATATAAAGACATCTGCCATACATAATATATAACCTCAAACATGAACAAAGATATTATAAAATTATTTAAATAACTTATCTGAGATAGGTTGGATATTAACTTGTTCCACTTTGGAAAGAATGTATTTTTCTATTTTAACCTAATTAAACCCAAAATATCTTTTTAGACAGATGTGTTCAATCTTATCTATCAACTTTAAGGGGTTCAGTGAAAAAAATCAGTTGCTTTATCTAATTAAGTCTAATTACCTTACTGAATCTATTGTCTCCCACTTGTATTTACCTTCTTGCTTACCACAAGAAAAAAAATCAGTTCTTGTCTGTTTGATGGGATTTATCATGAATTGCTGTGACCTTGACAACTTTTGCTGTACAGATCTATTGTAAAGCAACTGGCTTGTTTGAATGATGTTTGAAGAACAAAAAGTAATTTTTTTCTGGGCAAGTTCAGTTCTTAAATCATGTGTATTTATAAAAGATATTCTTCTTTTCAACCTTTCATCAAGATTGAACTTACCTTCAGCTTGTAAACATCTCCTTCAACTTGGTCATTATACCAACCAGGAAAGCGACTGTACTCTTCAAAGAAACGGTCAGCAGCTCGTAACATAATGTAAAACACAATGTCACTGTCTTCTTCATCTCCAAGTTGCATGGCTGAAGAAAAAAACAGAGTTTTTATGTATCTTTTAATTTACATGACAAAGTTAATTTAAGAAAAGAAAAGCAAACCTCAATTTAAGATCTGTATCAAGTTGTGTGGCTCTGTAGTGATATAGCAGTTATCATTTTGGAAAATGGAAGTGGAAGGCTAAGTACAAATTTTAATTGAGGCTGTTGCATTTATTTTACACTCCTTCTTTTAGAAGAAGGCATGGACTCAATTTTTCCCTTCTCCACTTGTGAGCAAAATAGCAGGAAAGACTGAGCCTTGGCTGGGAACTAGTTTAGGAAAAGAAGAAATCTCTATTCAAAACTGTGCAAAAGACAATAGACTATTATCTTTCACAAGAACAATCATGGCAATGCAGTTTGTAGATATTAAAAAAATGGAGGAGGTGGAACTGAAGGAATGTGGCAGTTAAAAAGAAAGAGACAAAGAGCTTGATTTGTTTATAATGAAAGTTTCTATTTTGCTTAAATCTGTAAAAAGCATAAATATATTTTTTGTGTGCAATTCAATTGCCCACTTTTCTAAGCACAGATGATTTGAAATGATAAGTTTTCAGTTTGTGCAATACATCGTACTATTTAGGGGTTTTTAGAAGCCAGTGTAAAACTTCAGGCTTTGATATCTTTAGGCACTCTAGAGTGGATGCATGTGGACTTCTAGGAAGATTATGTCAAGAAAAAGTATCCATCACCTGTAAACGTGAGGTTGCCATTTATGTAAAGTAAATTAACATTGCAAAGTGTTCTACCCAAGGTCACTTGGCAGTGAGAGGAACTGTTTTCAAGTGCCACAATGTATACAATTACTCCTTTGTTGGTGTAAGTAAATGAAATTGGCAAAAGTGTTACTCATTTCACTTTGCATAAAATATTTCTTAAATTGTGCATAAATATATACAATATAAAATCAGGAAAGTAATATTAGTAAAAACAAAAATTTTGATACACTGCAGGACTTGGACATATCCCAAGGTCTAACAGAGTTAATGAGTAAAGAGCACTGTCATGTTCGCCTATGATGGAAGTCTATAGGGTTAACATAAAATTACAATAAATATTGATTATAGAATGAATTTTTTTACAAAATGAACCAGGTCTAGATTCTCAAAAACAAAGAAACTCATAAATTATGATTTTATTTTTTTTTTAATTTTGTATTAGATGAAACATTGTAAATCATTAATTTTTGACTAGTATTTGTTTAATTTTTAAGTGGTTTTCATTGCAACTATTCAAATTGGCAACTTCTTTATTTCTAATATGTACTATTTACCAGTGACTGTAGACTGATCGTCTGAATAGTTACAATGAAAAGCATGTTAAGATGAATCAATACCAGTCAAAAATAATAAATATCTTTCAAATTCACAACTTCCAACCATTTGACCGACTCCAATATTGTAATGTTTACTCACCAAGTTCCTGAACTTTGGCTGTTTTGGGATCATATTCTTCAGCTAAACGTCTGCAATGGATCACTCGCAGGAAGCTTCCATTCCGGCCTGCAAAGTGATAGAAAAAAAAATGTTCATCATAAGTAACATAAAAGAAACAAGGAATGAAAGAAATATTTTGAAAGAAATTCACAAAAATACAAGAATTAAAATTTAATGATTTTCAACATAAACCAATTTTGATGAATGTATTTTTTTTTAAATAGAAAATGAAAAGAGGCTAAAAGGAAAATAAAATAAATGAGAATTAAAACTGTGATTTCTTAGTGCAGAGCATCTTTTGATTTTAGGTCAGATTAAATGTTAATTCCAATTTCTTCTAAATCAATAAAGTATAGTATTTGATATTTTTTTTTTTCTAGAAAAATATCTCCTAGTTTTTATATACAAAACTGGTGTATGTGTTTGGCTAATACTTACTCATATATATACCATAAATTACCAGTATTTGTACCTAACTAAACTCCTGGTTTCTGTAATATCAAATGTAAAAGCAAAGGGCCTTATATGTCATCAAATACAGAATGTTTCAGAGAATCTTCAACATCAATTTCAGTGTTTAATGCAGGAAGAATTTGACACCATTTCTAATAAGATTTAATAAATTTCTATATATATTGAATTGTTCATCAAATTCATTTTTGTGGTAGATGGTATCAAGAGTATTTAGTTTTAACTAATTTCATTAAAACAACTCACATTTGATTGGATTGTGACAGCTGACATATCAGTGTGCATTAAAAACCTTTGTCAAAATTGATTTATTTTCATTGACGTTGGAGGAAAATAAACATTTTAAGAAAAGTTAAAATATGATTTGGCAGCAAAAAAAAAGATTTGTGCTGTTTACACAGAAAGTAAATGATCAAATGTGTCAAAAGCAGTTTTCAAAATTTTGTCATGGAGATTTTTTGCTGGATGATGCTCCATGTTTGGGTAAATCAGTTGATGTTGAATCTAAGAATAATCAACATATAAGATAGCTAACATAGTGAAACTATTCAAATGAAGACATGAAGAGAATTTGCATCAGTTTGGTTATGTTAGTCACTGGCTTCCTAAAAAAACACCCCCCCACCTAAAAATACAAACTTGGGTTGTATATCTGTGTATGGTTTGCTATTTGAATATTCCAGTTTTTTTTATATTTTTATTTTAAACAAATTTTGAGATGGAAAGCAACATAACTGCAATATATCCTGGTGAAAGCAAAATGACCCCACATACATTAGTTGTGCCCCAAAACCAATCCTAATCTAAAGAAGGTGATGCTATGTATAAGGTAAGATTGGAAAAAATTTTCTGAATTCCTTCCAGATTAATTTCCTGATTGAAGGCAGCAAGCAATAAAAATTGTGGAGAATTATTTAAGAGGATAATACAAAATGACATGTGACCAGGCAAAAATTGTTATAACTTGACTGGGAAGTTTTCACTCATCTACTATATATTCATCAGTTATTGTGCCTTTGGATTAACATTCATTTCAGAATTCACAGAATTTTCAAAATTAAAAGTTTTTAATTCTCCAAAAGACTGCAAATTCTTTATTGAGAAAAATAAAATGTTCTGGTGAGATGAAATTAAGAAATGGCCTGAAAAGTGACAGAAGAAAGTAGAACAAAATGGTAAATAAATTGTTCAATAAAATGAAAACATTTCTGTTGATTAAATTGTTTTTGGCTACAAAATAGGCAGATTAGATTGGCCTCTCATAGAGTAACAATTAGCAAGCTAGTCTTACACATTTTTACTCATGTGGTGAATTTGTTCCTCACTGAGCATTTGATTAGTTCCATCATCTGGACTCTGAATTTTCCCCTATTGGATGTTCTCTTAAGGAGGCCCTATACCTTGAAGGCATATTAGAACTTAAACTCAACCCAGACCTCAAGTGAAACTCATACATACAATCCATCACTAAAGATGCTGGAAAAATGGTCAGTTCCCTGTACTGCTCCAATAAGTACCTGACTCTGCTATCCTCTACTGTTACAAGAGCCAGATCAGGCTGAAAATTGAGTATTACTGCCTAGTCTTCACTTTCCAGCCTGATAGAGTTCAAAAGCATGTCCTTGTGGATGATGAATTATTTCCCATCCTACAACCCCTTTCTCACAGATGAAACATTGCAAACTATGGATTCAATAGGAGGGTGTAATCTTAGTTTCAGCCAGATTAGGAGAAAGACTATTCTGAATCCAAAGTCATGGTGTGGCCACTCGACTGTATTTTTTAAGAAAAGGTCAGCTCAGGGATTACTCCTTGTTGCTGGTACCATGTAACAAAGTACAATCTGTTGCATGTTACTTAGAAAGGAGATTGCCACCACCAAGTGATTCTACTACTCTGAGAAATGCCATGAAAACCAATTATTCAGTATGGTACCCCAACAGTTACATTGGTCATAGATTAAACTGGAACTGGAGCCTACTGTAGAGCAATGGTTAACAAAGTAATCTTACACTGATTTGTGAGTGTAGTAAGTTGCATCATTCCAGAGTGCCCAATACTTATAGCCTTGTGCCAAACTAAGATAATTTTAATAAAAAAAAAAAAAAGGACATGCATATTGGATGTTCATATTAAAATTTCTCCAAGTAGATGTATATTATAATTTATTCTCAAACTTTTAACCCTGTATGATGGGATTTTCTATTATTACTGTTCTGTAGACTATTCTGTCAGAAATTTCCATCATGTTTAAGGGATGAATAGCATTCTAAGGATATATAGCTTATATGACAGTGTGTTATCACAAATAGTAAATGCTAGACATGTGAAACAGAACCATGACAATATGCATCCAGAATTTGTACATTTAATGGTTCCTAACTCTTTAATGGTTCAATACTCTAAAATCTTTTGAAAGACAGAAACACTAAATGAAAGATTTTGTATTGTGGACAAAATTAGTATGTTGTCTTCATTTCTTTGTGAGGCTTGGACAGTTAACAACAGCCAAACTGTGATGCTCACAGTACCCCAGAGGAAGATGGATTGGATGATGCTAAAGGAGATTTAATTGCTAGAATTAATGAACTCTTATTCTCCTGCAGCTGCACATCCTGCCAGTTAGGATGTAAACCTGCAAGACTTGGACAGTTATCAATCACTAAGCAAAGACAGAAGATAAAAACAATTGCATAAGATATCATACAGTAGGCTCTGATGAAATTCAATTAGAGGGTTGGTCAGAACAGAGTTGGTCACAGAGGCAACAGGTAGACCATCAAAGTCAACAAAATGGACACCAATAGACAAAACCAGAAGATAAAGAAGTGCACCAGATGGGTCTGACATAGTTGTGCATTGACTGTGGAATTGAATGTAGGAGTGCACCCTCCTTTGCGAGTGAGAAGAGACTTGATGGTGATGATAATTATCAATATCTGTCTATATTTCTGAGATGAGGTATTATGTACACTATTTACATTATTTGGACTATTGTTCTCATCTTTGTCACCATTTTTATTACAACATTCAGTTTGACATTCCAACCACCTGAATAATGTAAATAGTGGTAATTATCAAGTTAAAAAGAAGTAAATGTTCCATTTGTGCTATTTTAAATTGTTATACTTTTCATAAAACTTTTACAAGATATACAAAGATTTTATTGGGATAAGCAATGTATACAAAAATAAAAGGTTTTATAATCATGGCAGCAATGTTTTTTGGCAAACAGGGGATGATCTTGCTTGATGGAAATATAATAAAAGTAAATACTTACAAAATAATTTCACATCTTGTTCTGTAATACTGCAATATGGCTAAAGGAATATAAAATAAAAATTGTCAGACATTTTAAAGAATAAACAGTCATCAAGAGAATAAGTTCCAAACTGAACTCTACCCATATTGAAATTTACATGCTGTATTTTTTGATATCAAAAAGACAATTGTGTATATCAAAAAATTTGAAAGGATTTATCATGAGAGTTCATCTTGAAGCAATTCACAGAAGGTAAGTTCAAAGTTCTTAAATCCACAATGATCTATTTACCTCTAAGCCTTCAAATTGGGAAAACTGAAAAAGTTCCTATTGTTAAAACTGAACTTCACCATAATAAACGGTTCAAAACTCTTATAGTAGAAACCATTTGCAAAAAATGGGATTTTTTTTTTGTATTCCTTTTCTGCCAATGACCATAAGAATCAAAGAAGCTAAGACCAAAAATGAACAGCCAGAAAATTATAGACATTCTTAAAAAAAAAAAAGAGTAAAAGAAAAGCTAGTTTATGATTATATATATATATATATATATATATATGTATAAATTCCATAACCTGCTGGACTGTGAGGTATAACCACCTGCCTATATATTATTGCAGGACATTTTGTGAAATTTCATAATTTCAGAACTGCTTATGCAACAGAACAAATCAGTAGTGAAGAGCATCAAATGGCCAGTACAAAGCTGCTCATGTGAACGGCCTTATTTTACTTATATGTGAGTTTGTGTAATTCTCTTTGGCATACCAGTCTTGTGAGCAAGTAGATCTTCATTTTATGTAAATATAATGGTGGCACATTCACATCTGATAAAACCTGATATGTGACTCAAGCCATCTTTGTACAGATATAAAAATATTTCAAATTATGTTAACAATGGTTGCAGCCATTATATTTACCCTATTCCTAAGGGTATGAAGCAGTACTACTCAGAATACCATGTTTCATTTTACAGGCAATAACACTGAGGTACATTCTTTTGCCAGTACTATGGTGATTAGATGCTGGAGTTGTATTGGTAAACAAGTACTATAAGTTCAATGGGTTAGAAAAGCCTGAAGTCCTGTTATCCCTTTTTCTACAATGTTTCAAAGTTAAACAACATTCAAATGTTAAAGATATAAAGCTTTTTAGCAATATGGCAAAAAATACAGAAATTCTTTGTGAGAATAAAGATGGTTGATATAAGCAAATTCGATTCTTGTAGAGTCAGAAAGGAAAATCAACAGACGACAAGAACAAAGGAAATTAATTAGAAGCCATCATAGTTGACTGATAGAAGAAGAGATGCAGGAGATTTTGTAATCCAAAAGAATGCAATATTAAGAGTGTTAAAAATGATGGAAACAATGAATACTTGATGAAATATAGCAAATCAATAAAGATTTGCAGAGAATTAAATGTGACAATACTTTAAGGCACATCAAAATATATGTGGAGCACAAATCATACAAAAAGAAAAATGTAACATCAAAAGAAGAGAATAAACCCAATTGTCATTTTGTACCTGAGGCTTGTAACCCCCCTCCCCCCCATGGATGGAAAGATGAAGAAAGTGAACTAGAAAATCAGGTTTAACAATTGATGTGTTGTGTAGTTGAAGATACAAGATGATAGCAGTATACTCCAGATAGACACATTAGAATAAAGCGTGAGGAGAAAAGAAAAAAAAATTCATCTTAACACTTGGCATAAGAACAGCTGCAGGGGACGAAGATGATGGTGAGGGTTCAATTGTCTACTCAAGCAGCAGAAATGATGCTTATTCTATTATTATGTTGGCTTACAGACTGCACTAATAAAATATAAATTGAGACATTTTGAATTTTCTTTTTTTATTGCTTTTTGATCTAACTTTTGTGGTGCTCTCCATGAAAGACACACATTTAGGATAGGGAGCTACATTAAAGTCCCACTTCTTTAATCTGATGTCATGCATCTTTAATTGTTAGAGGTTATTCAACCAAGAAAGGCATGATAAAAGCAATAATAGTTGAGAAAAAGCTCATCAAAAATTAATAATCTGAGTTTTTTTGTTTGAAATTTTCATTAAGAATAGAAGCCCTAAAAATATAGATGACAGAATTGGTGATATAAATGTATATGATTAGAACGAGTCACCTGACGAAGACTGGAAAACTAATCAGTTAAAAGATCAACAATAAAGAAACAACAGAAACAAACATGGAAGAGAGAAAACTATCAACAACATTTGAGATAATCTCTTTACATACCAATTTTATGAAAAATAATAATCTAGCTTAAGATAGTCTTAGAGATGCATGGTGTATTAACAGCTGAAAATGGAATTGGCAGACCAATTTCAAATTCCATCTTGGTAAAGCCACAACTCCATCTCTTCTCCCTACCCCAGATATAGACTAAATAACAGGACAGACTGTGCTTGTGCACTGGTTGGCAACCAGTCTAGGTGAAGGACAACTCCAAAATCAAAAACATGGAGATGATAATGGGAAACCAGTTCACAAATTTTTCTCAAGAATAATCATAGCTATGAAGTTTGGAGATATTAAAGAAAAGCTGTGGAGAGCCATTATCACCAATGTTCTAAAGGGACATAGCACTTATCAAAGAAAAGCCTTTTTTAAATATTTAGAAGCAACAAATTTATTCAAAGTTGCAATATGGTTGCAAAGGAGGTTCAGTTCCACTATGTTTATCAATTCGAGTCTATAACTGGTGATGGGTGAGAGAGATTTTGAAGATAGAATTGTGATCTCATAAAGGGAAGTTAAAATTCACAGTATTTCAAACAACAATCTGATCATCAAATGATGATGAAGAGAGAGAGAGAGGATTTCTTCAATCAAGAGCAATCCTTAAATAAAAAGCTCCATTATAAAGTTAATTTTTAAGGTTTCAATTAATGTTCAGTAATGAAATGTTGTTTTGCTTTCTTGAGAATAGTTGCCATTTGCATGTGTGTCAGCTTCCAAAGTGTATTCACCCACAACACACACAGGCCTGGTCTTTAGCATAAGAGAAGAAACTACTAGCATAAAACTTACAATTACATCTAGCCATTTTTTCTTTCCTCCACCAATTGAAGTCGATACGTTCACCTATTGTCTGATTCAGACTCTTCCCTGGTCTTTGAACAGGAGTAGAGGTTTATTCCTTGTTTCCTGTTTAGGATTGGGTTTCTGGTTCTTTCTAAAGTCTATTTCAGCTCTATACTCCTAATGCTTGTCCTTTCTCATGCTAATATAAGTCCACACAGTAACCCTCTACCTTGAGTGGCTCTTGGGTTTTGTATTGGGTGAATATTAGTAAAAAAAGAAAAAAAAAAAGGGTTATAACATTTGCTTTCTGTTGAGGCTTGTGGAGGGAAGGTTGAACAGTGCCATGTATATGCAAAACATTCAGCTATGATTCCTGCAATAAAAAAGTGATTTGTTGTTCCAGCAGGATAACACCAGACTATATGAAACTCATGCAGCTGAAGAACATGCTTGGCACTGATGTTCAACAACTTCCCATGTCTGAATCTTTCAGTTCTTGTTGCATTGCATCAACAGATGCAAGAGGGCATAGAATAAAGTATCACAGAATTGTATGTCATGTTAGTGTACAGAGGTTTGTATTAATGCCTAAGGAGGACATACAGTTACAGTGTTATACATAAGCAGTCTGTGTACTGCTGATCGACCTATGATTTTGGAAATCTGTGCATGTAGTGATCAAAATATCATTGACTGTAACCCAGCTCTAATATAGGCAGGTTTCATTGACTCAAGATTAAGCATGCACATACTGTAGTGAGGTAAAAATCAACATTGTCTTTTAGAGCATTGCAATTTTATTTTTCTATCGGTGTATTTATTTACAGCTGTCCTTTTTTCAGTAGATTTCTACATCACTCAATAGTTAAATGGAATTTTCTTCTTAGTTAGCAAAATGGTATTTTGAATTGTTTGTAAGAAGAGCAGCAATGACTGATATACATTAATTGCTAACCTAGAGAATATAATGCAATGGTGACAAAGAAAAATCTAAGTTGAAGGAAAACTCCTTGCTACTAACTCATACCAAGGAGACATACCTGGCTACTAACTCATACCAAGGAGACATACCTGGCTACTAACTCATACCAAGGAGACATACCTGGCTACTAACTCATACCAAGGAGACATACCTGGCTACTAACTCATACCAAGGAGACATACACTAACTCTACCAAGGGAGACATACCTACTAACTCATACCAAGGAGACATACCTGGCTACTAACTCATACCAAGGAGACATACCTGGCTACTAACTCATACCAAGGAGACATACCTGGCTACTAACTCATACCAAGGAGACATACCTGGCTACTAACTCATACCAAGGAGACATGAAATTTATTCAAAGAGACATAGAGAAAGGAACACATAGACAAATACCACCAGTTATGCTGTGATGAAAATTTGGAAAGATTATACCGATAAATTCATTGTATCATTTGTAAACCCTAGAGCCTCCTATTGCTGTGTTTAAGCAATTTTTTTTTTTTTTAGCATGAACGTTCACTGGTGTTGTGTGTTCGATTATCACAAGGTGAATTACTAATGTAACACTGTATTTGACTAAACTTGGTTGAGTAACTATGGAAACCACTGGCCTTAGAATGATGGTTAACAAGCCTGTCAAGTAAATTTGTGGGTATAGAGAATCTATATTTAGTGTGTATACAACTATTGTGGCCTTGTGCCAGAATCAGTTAAACTTAGTTTGGTTTTGTTTGTTTTATGGCATATCAACCTCAATGGGTCATTTAATGCCAATAACTTTTTTTTTTCTTGGTAATATTTTTGTTTTGTCAAAAATCTATTTCTGTCAAACTTTTTTCCTCAAAAATGTACAGCTGGCAACATTATTTTTTCAAAAATGTATTATCAGAGGCCTTGCTGTTGGATGTAGTTTATCGTCTTACCCAGGAAGCCAGCTAAACTTAAGAAAATAACTAAAAATGGATGGGCCTAAAAGAAAAACAGAAAAGCAAACAAAAGTCTTTATATTGAGTAAACAGCAT